TATGCGCCTATTCATGCAACACACATTTGTGACCCACCTATTATGTGTTAAGAGTGACACACCTGGGGCAAAGTGCCAGGTGCTGGGAATCTACAACAGGTAAAGGGAGGAGGCGTGGCAAAGTGCAAATGCATGGCTCTTGGTGACAAAGGTCTTGGGTTCAAATTTTATCTTCCCAATGTCCTGGCTTTGGTAAGTAAGATATTTATTCTCTTAGTCCTCATGTAAATAGAATTAATTTTTACCTTACAGGGGTGTTGTGAGTACTGACAGTAATCTATAAAGCATTTAGTGTAGTAGTTGGCATAGAAAATAAACTCTAAATTAATTAGTACGGGCTCCTTACCCTTGAAGAGCTTGCCATTTCAATTATTATTAATATTCAGACATAGCCCCTGTTCTCTTAGTCTAGTTGAAGAGACAGGTATAGCATCAGGTAATTAGAGTGTAATTAGGATAAGTGAAATAACAGAGAGTCTCAGACATTGCATATAACAAAATATATCTGCGTTTAGGAGGATTGAAAGTTAAAAGTTTGATATACAACATTAATTTAGCATCATATCAGCTGCATATCTATTGCGAGAAGCTTATTTCATAAGTTTGGATTAGCATCTTATGAAGGTTTCAGATCTATCAGAACAGCTTGTATAATGATCAGAGCTAGCATTGACTGTCGGCCATACCACGTGTCGGCATGTTCTTGCAGAACACCTCTCTTAATCCCCACATCAACCCTACAAGGTGGAAACTATTATTAGCCCTATTTTACAGATAGGCAAACTGAAGCACAGAGGAGTTAAACTTGCCCAGGTTACGTTGCTAATAAACCAGGATTCAGAGCCAGGCATTCTAACTTCAGAGCCTGTGTTTGTGACCACTCATTACAATTCTTCCTACTGCCTTTGTTTGTCCAGATTCATTTTACAACCAGTGGAGGTTGTCACAATTACCCTTGGGAAAACTGTAAAATCCGGAGAAATTCAGGGAAAAATCAAAGAGAAGAAGAGCAATGGATCCAGAAGAAGATATATCCCAGCTATTGCTTTTCTGTGAGTGGAAAGTAAGAGGTGCTCTCTGTTGACCGAGCCCAGACCAGCCAGGCTCCTTCCTACCTAAGTCCAGTTTCCAGAGACGGCCCAGCTAACCTTTAGCTTGTGAGTTATAAACTCTTGTAGCTTAGAGTATTTTAGAGATTTTTAAAAAGATTGTATTTTAAAACAGCTTCACTTTCTTCTCCTGAGGGCTATTAGCTGCAGTGATTCTTATTTTCTCAGTTCCCCACTAAGGAAGCACTGAGAGGTGGAATGACTTGTTTGAAGTCAACAGTGACTTGAAGGCAGAGGAAGGATTGTCCTGGTTTACTGGTGCTTTCCATGAGAGGATTGCCCCTGAGATTTCAATTCTGGTGCACATTTTAAAAACTAGAATATCTTGGTCTGGTACAAGATCCTGTTTCCTTGAAAGAACACTTTGATTTTATAGACCTGTTGGCCACAGTCTAGTTAATCTGGAAAGCTATGAAGGGGAAAATGAGATCATACTCATTTTACAGAAGAAGAACTCGAGAACTGAGACCTAGGGAATGGGGTAAGTAGCTTATGTCTTCATAAATCAGAAGATTCACGGGAAAGAAGCAGTGGAGAAAAGAGCAGGGTGGTCCTGAATCCTCAGGGCCACCTCCAGAATTCCTGGGCACTGGCTTGATCCAGGTTGGCTCTTCTGAAAGTCCTAAGGAACTTTTGCTATTGATTCATTACTTTTTTGTGCTACATACTGGGACATTACACCACACACATACCAGTTGCCGTCAACTTGACTCCAACTTATGGCAACCCCATGTGTGTCAGAGTAGAACTGTGCTCCATAGGGTTTTTAATGGCTGAGTTTTTTGGAAGCGGATAACCAGGCCTTTCTTCTGAGGTGCCTCTGGTTAGACTTGAACCTCCAACCTTTCAGTTAGCAGCTGTTAACTGTTTGCACCACCCAGGGACTCCACTGGGGCATTAGGACACTAGGGATTTGACTGAGTGAGCACATCAGAGAGAGGCAAGGGTGTTCAAGAGTGATCCCTCCACTCATCTGCAGGGTGAGGAGTGATTTTATCTCTGGGGAAACTCAGCCTGTTCAGTATCACTTTGGAACTTCTTCATCCTTTGTGTCCAAGTCTCTTTATTCCTTCCTTCATGTCCCTCCCCAGGACAACTGTCTTTCACCAGCTCATACCTGGTTCATTGCTTTAGTTGACTTCTTAGTTGGTCTTTCTAACTGATAGTCTTTTCTGTCTAACATGCCCTTACATGGGAACAGCCCCTGAAGGCTGCATTTTGATACTTAATGCTTACTATAATTTGACTCTATTATGTGATGTTGAGGAAGAATATTGAGTCTACCATGAACTGCCAGAAGAACAAACAAATCAGTCTTAGAAGAAATACAACTGGAATTCTTCTTAGAAGCAAGGATGCTGAGGCTTTGTCTTGCTTGCTTTTGACACAATATCAGGAAAGACCAATTGCTAGAAATGGACATCATGTTTCGTAACGGGTCAGCGAAAACAAGGAAAACCCTCACTGAGATGAATTGATACCATAGCCTCAACAAGACTCAAACATATTAAAGATCATGAATATGGCACAGGACCAGGCAGCATTTCATTCTATTATACATAAGGCCATGATTCGGAGCCAGCTCCATGGCAACTAACAACTGCAACAAATGTTTGTTGGCTTCTTTCTACTTCTACTTTCAACAGGTGCACTCTGTTCAAGCTGGCTGGTCACTCTTGATTCTATTCAACAAAAATTTATTGCTCACACACTGGATACAAGGCACTATGTTGGATGGTGTGGATGCAGAGGTGAATAAAGATATGAATAAGTCATGGATCTTGCCATCAAGTAATTTATAAAGTAGTGATGGAAACAAATAATAATATACACTGTAAGACACAATTACATGAGTTATAGTGATGGAAGGGCTGGGAAAAAAAGGAGTGCAAATAGAGTCATGATGAATTTTGACTGGTGATACCAGGGAAAGCTTCATAGAGGAGATGATATTTGAGCTGGGCATTGAAGGATGTACAAATAGACAGGGTTTGGGGGTACACATTCCAATTGAGTCACTATGTCATGCATAGGCAAGGGACTGTCAACATGTATGGCATATTTGGGAGGTGCCCTAGATATACTACACAGATCCAGACCTCTGCTAGTTTTTCACGCTTCCCTCACTTGGGTGCCTCTGCCTTCCTTATTCTCCGTCCAAATCCTATCCATCCTTCAAGGCCCAGCTTCAGCCCCGCCTCCCTCACAAGATATTTTCTGACTGCTCTAGCTCACGACCCTCCTTGCAGCATGCAGTTCGGGATTTAACTATAGTGTCTGTGCTGAAATCACCTCCACAGATAGACAAGGGCAGACGTTATATCCATCTTACACTTTGGGGCCTGAGGCCCTGTCATGGATTGAATTGTGTTCCCTAAAAATATTTGTCAACTAGGTTAGGCCATGATTCCTAGTATTGTGTGATTGTCCACCATTTTGTCATCTGATGTGATTTCCCTATGTGTTGTAAATCTTATCACTGCGATGTAATGAGGTGGATTAGTGGCAGTTATATTGATGAGATCTACAAGATTAGATAGTGTCTTAAGCCAATCTCTTTTGAGATAGAAAAGAAAGAAGCGAGAGGAACGATACGGGGACTTCATACCACCAAGAAAGCAGTGCTGGGAGCACAGCACATCCTTTGGACCTGAGGTTCCCGTGCTGAGATGCTCCCAGACCAAGGGAAGGATCTTCCTCAAGAGTCAACAGAGAGAGAAAGCTTTCCCCTGGAGCCGGTGCTCTGAATTTGGACTTCTAGCCTCCTGGACTGTGAGAGAAAAAACTTCTCTTTGTTAAAGCCATTTGCTTGTGGTGTTTCTGTTATAGCAGCACTAGATAACCAAGACAGGCCCTAACACAGTGTTAATGGCAGTTGGTGCTAGATGGTTCTACGGACCCATTCTTTTTGCCTAAATGCAGTTTATTTCTGCTGTTTAGCCTGGGATTGTTCAAGGGAGTTTAGGATTTAGCTGGTTATGTTTGCTAACACGTAAGGGAAATAATTCCTCAAATGATCATATGAACGTCCTGCTCAGCTGTGGGTGATTCCTTCCCGGTGCTGTCAACCAGGAGTTAACATCTGGTTGTGTTTTTGTGGGTGTTGCAGGGGTGGGGACACTCAGTCTCAGCTTGAGCCTCGTGGCTCTCTGGGTTGAGTCTTAGGAAGTGGGATGAACCCTGGTAGTTTCATTATCTACACCATCATCCTCCACGTTCTCTCTGGAGAATGACTCTACTTCTTTCAGGGTCTCTTGTTTTGATGATTGGGTTATACCTAGTTCCCCTGAACTGCACTGAAGTGCTGCTCAATTTCTTATGGAGAGGAGGGGTACAGGGTATAGCTTCTACTTCTTGCTGAGGCTGCTTGGAGTGATACAGAAGGAGACCTTGGCCAGAAAGAAAACCTTACTTGGCTTCTGAAGAGGAGCCTGAAGAAAAGTGCCCCGGCAGTCTAATTCTTACAGAAAGAGATTTTCTCATTTGGAGAGTGTGTCTGCATGACTGAGAGCCACAACTCTTACAGCCATGCCACCGTGTGTGGTTGGGTTGGTTGAGAACAAATGTTCCTGGGCAAAGGGATATGGAGGGCTGACATGCAGTCCCCATTCTGCTTGCCAAGCCAGTCTTTCGGGTGTGGGGCTGCCTCTGCCCCAGTGAAAGGATGCCTTTTCCTAATGTGCTCAAGCTGCTGTGTGGACTAGTGGAGACCATGCACCAGGGCTCCTCACAGACATCCAGTGTGAGCAGTTTCCCAGCTGGTGTGCCATGGCATATTACACATGTGCAAAATATTGATCACCTCCACCCACAGGGCTGCTGGTCACAAGAAGCTTCCACCTATGTGTAGTCTCCATATATCATAAGCGGTCTTGATTGTTCACCCTAGTGTGCTGTAAAAAGACGATTATTTTCTACGAATGTTGTGAAGTGAAGATGGTTGGGAAGCACTGTGCTTGGGAATCCGCCTTGTCATTCATCCAGAAGAGAGCCATCTTGGAAAAGGTTCCCACCCATTTGTCCATCTAGGCACAAGCTATGCCCAGCCACAGAGGGTTTCCTGCTTTGCTTGCATGTTGGAATGTGGGGATTTGCAATCTTCTGGTAAGATCTGGGCAGAGGATCTGGATCTGGGACACCTGCCAGTAGAGTTGGTTGTCGTTCAGTTTCTGGAGAGACAATGCTGCCTGGAGCCTAGATCACAGTTTCATAGCTTGAAGTCCCAAGAGGTTTTCTGCCACATGTGCTGGTTTTCCCCATCTGCGCACAAGAGGGAGATGTGAGGACATGTTTACTGAAAGGTGCTGCTGGGGAACTCCAGGCCCACGGGGTGCCCAGGAGAGCTAAGTAAATGGCATGGGGATGCCTTTATCTTCACTGGTGCTGGGAAAATCTGGAGTAGCAGGACTTTGTCCTCTGCTGAGTCCCACACCTTTGTTCCAGCCACCCCCTTGGGAACCTTTGGGCAATCAACTTTTTAGACCAGAAAAGAGAAGCAGAAGGGAATAGGGGGGTACTTGGAATTGATTTGGAATATAAGCTAGAGGAAAAATCTAGACTCAAGCTACCTGCCTTCCTTGTACCAAAGGATCTCTAGTTCTTTCTGTACCCCAATAACTCCACCTTTGGCTATACATTGTTGGGAGTCACCAGTTATGTAATATGCGCTCTGGTCATTTAGAGAGTTGCAAACAATCTTCCCACTGGCTTAAGGAGTCTTACGGTTTAAATTACATACTGACTGATTAATAATAGTAATTCAACTTGTCTGTAAAGATTTATTTTGAAATGTTTCAATCTAGGACCCCCTCAAATCTAGTCCTTTCCAGCTGAAAAGTCAGGTTACTCATCTGCCTCCCACCCTCCTTCAGATCCTGGATCAAACATTCTGGGTACCTGGATCCTCACTCGTTTCTCCTTCCCCTTTCCTCCTCCTCTTCTTTCTCACTCCTCTCCTTTTCCTCTTCCCTCTTTTCCTCTCCTGATCACTGAGAAGGTAAATGTCCTTCTGTCTTGTTCTCCAGGACATTCGGTTGATCTATAGATTCAGATCGAACTGTGCTTCAAGTCCATCTTCAAACGAAGTGGCACCTCCTTGCTTGTCTAACTCCTAGATGTCCTCACTACGGCCTTTTAGAATTCACTGTTAATTCTTATTTATGGACCCATTTGAAACCCACTTCAATTTCCCAACATTTCTTCCCATTGTTCATTTGTTATCATTATTTTCCCTTTTCCCCAGACTCCTGGTTCAAATGTATCTTTCATTATCTGGTAGCTTAGCTACTAAAAAGGAACATTTATAAGACATTTAATTCATTAAGAGGCCCGAAAGGTGTCCTCCCAACTGTAGCAGAGGTGAGAACCCTCAGACGGTGATGATCCCTTACCAAATCTCCAAGATGTAAAGTCCTGTGACAGAGCTGGGTTTATCTTCCCTCTTTGCGTATTCCAGAGAGGGAAACTGAGACGGAAAATTGTGAGTGTCACTAGACCACTGCACATGGTTGTGCAGGTTGTATACTATGACAGGGCTGCTGAGGGAACAAACGGGAACTGAAATTCAGCCTGTGTTTCACTTGCTAATTCATGCACCTGGTTTGAGGCTGTGTTTGCCAGAGTGGGACACCTGTTTTCTAATTTTCAAACTATGACCTACCACTGGCCCTGAGTGTCATACAGCCTGGAGTTTCCACACTGTAGTGCAAAGGCATGAAGGCTTCTGCACTTGAAAGGAGAGATCAGCCTCCCAAGCAGGCCAGTTTATGGATGGCCATGGACCTGGGAAGCAGATGAAAGTACCCGTAAACTAAAGCCCTAGACAGCTACTCCTGAGAGGTACAGAGAAGAGTCCCAAGGGATGGATGGAAGAGGTACAACTTGAATGGGTGTAACGGGGCTAAGAAGCCAGAAAGGATTTACCTTATCAGAGCACTGCACTATGGAATAAATCGTGTTCACTGCCTCTTCTTTAGAGGGAGGCACCTGTAAAACACCCGTCTTCCCCTAAGTGAGTGTGCCCAGGCCAAATCTTATGAGTCCCACTTCCCACTTCCGCCCCCGCTCATCACCCCTCCCCGGCCCCATTTTCACTAGGCAGCCTCCTCTCCTGGCTTCAGCTCTGGTTCCAGACTTGTGGGGAGCAGGCTGGTGGAGGCACAGAAGAAGGACGCACTGTAGAATCCTGATTCAGGGGGTGGAGGTGAGGGAGGGGCAGGCAGGTGAAAGGCAGGTGGGAAGAGGGAGTATGTGACAAAGTGACTTGGAGTCTGAGGAAAGCAAGCTGCTGCCAGATGAGAAAATCCTTCTAGGGGGATTACATCAGTTCTGTGCTCTCTGAGAGCCATTAGCAACCTGCTCACCATGTCAGTGGCCACATAACAGCCCTCACCTCACTCCAGGGGCTCCCTTGTTGTTTGGCCCCCATAGGAGCTACTCCAATTCTAGTCATGACTTTCATCTAACATGGGAGTCAGGCCCCCTGCTGGGAATTTCAGGGCCTCATCTGCTGGAGGCTGCCATGGGGTGACAATTGACTTGGTTCTTGTTCTCATAGAGAGGGTTGGGGCATCATTTCCCTGACAGTGGTATTTCTTGGTTGGACCCTCCAGACTCTCGGCTGTGGCTTCTGTCAAAGCCACAGCAAGCAGAGGTTAATGGTTGCCCTTGATTCCCTGTCCTAGGGTACTTGGGGGTGGTGATCCATGGTAACGTCAGCTCACCTTAGGCTGGGAGATTTCATCATAGATTCTGGTCTCTGCTGGCTGGGTGTCTCTTGGAGCTATTACGATTTGTTCATATACTATTTTCTTTGAAACATCATCTGTGTCACATACACACAAAAAAGCACACAACCACAGTATATGAAAGGTGGATGAATTTTTAGAGATTATTCTAATGCTTTCTTTTTAAGATGAAGAAATAAAGGCCTTAAGTAGTCAATTACTCCTAAGGTTTCTTGACTCTGCATCCAGAACTTTTTCCAGTATGTCTTGCTCTATTGACCTGCACTTGCCTCCTTCCATGTCCCCATCCAAGACAGACTGGCTCTGACCTCGTCTAGATAAAGGCCTGGAGCTGCTCCCACTCTGCCTGGTGGTCACATTCAGGGGCCTCATCCCTCTTGAGAAGATCTTGGGTCCTTGGGCTGTCTCTCCCTTGTTTAGGGATTGTATGTGGTAGAGGAGGCATCTGGGTCAAGCCTCACCCAGAGCTCAGTGAGAATTCTCTTCTGTTCTAGAGGCTAAAGAGAATTCCTCCAACCCCCTGTGTTTGCCATCAAAGGCAGCCGTTCCACCCGGGGTGGGATCCCACTGCACTTAGCAACACTGGCGTTTAGCATTGACTGCATTAAACAGCTAGTTGGCTTCTCATGTGAGTATCTTAGCTTCTCAACTATATTATCTCTAGTTATATGCTGTGTTGGAGTCTTCTTGTACACACCTTACCATTACTACCTCAAAGTTGAGCTCACAGTGGATGCTCCACAAACATTTGTTACTTGCTAGATTGATTTGCAAAGTCAATAAACATTTATTAAGCTCCTTCTATGTGTCAAGCTTTGTGTGAGGTCCCAGAGAAGCGAACAGGAGAGATAAGTTCCTATTTCTAAGAACTGATTGGCTGGTAGAGGCATCCAACCCAGGGTACTCTTTTTCTTTGGTATGACATGGAACATTTAGGGCCAAGTTGAAATAAGATGGCCAGAATTTTGGGCGTTTGTATTCCAGGGCATCTTAACATATCCACAAGTAACAGACCCAGTGAGCTGAGCCATGTCACGGGGCCCCAGTGTTTCAGAGTCTAGTCCTATCCCATCCCTTGCTCCAGACTTGGCCTCCAGACTTGGCCAGTGAGCCTGACTGAGTACTCTGTCTTATCTCATTTATAGATGCAAAGAATAGTCCTTCTTCCTCCCCAGGAGGCTGCTAGGGATGAGGGTAGATGTCTCCTGAGGGACCCTGTACATCACCAATGGCCTGAGCAGGCTGTGCAATTCTCCCCATCATAAGGCCATTTGAGTTACATCACAAGCCCCTTTCCCTAAAAGGCCTCCTTCTGTGCTATGCCCAGACCTTTCAATTATAATAGCTAACAGTTAATGAGTCCTTAGTATGTACCAGGCAGCAGATCAATTATCTTGTATGGATAATTCCATTTAACCCACTTACTAATATGCAGCAAGCTTTATTATTGTGCTTATTTTACAACTGAGAAAACTGAGATTTACAGTGATAAAATAACTGGCCTAAGATCCCATAGGTTCATCCCAGGCTGACTGCAAAACATATACTTTTAGTCTGAACCATTATCCTGTGAGCCCCAATCCCTCTTAGTTGTTAGGACTTACCAGAGGCTGTGGCTGAGGACTTATCAGAGCTCTTATTGAAGGTCTTCAAGTAGGCACCTGAGGAATCAGACCCAAAGGAGAGTCAGGAAGATAGAAGCAGAGACAGAGCCTGTCTACACCCTTGCTTATTATTGTGATTGGTGGAAAAGCAAGAGCTTGGGTGGACATGGGAGTAGGAGGAATAGCAGGGTGTAATGATTCCCCCAAGGGCCCAAGATCAGGTATTCTGAATTGAGAATGGCATAATTACAGAAGAATCTAGAGGGGTTCAGAGGGATCTAGTGGCAACCACAGAATGCAAAATTAGTACATATCCCTCAGTGACTTTCCAAGAGTCATACTAAAAAACCAGCAGAGTTGGAAGTGACCCTGGAGACCCTCTGGTCCAAACATCATTTCACATGTAATGACACTGTGCCAGAGAGGTTAAGACACTTGTCCAGTGAAGCACAGCTCATTAATGACAGGACTAAAGTAGAACTTGGGTTCTGAGCCCACCACACTGATGATCCTGGGAACAGATCAAGGTAATGTCATGCAGTTCTCAGGGCCATCCTTCTGGGAGGCAGTGAGGGGGTGGGGTGGGGGTTGCAGAAGGAACAAAGGAGCTCTCCACATCACCTTGGATACACGACTTCAGTTCCAGGAAGAAGGAAGGGACATTTCCACATTTTACCGTCTGGTAAAATCCTACCTTGTCTTCTCTTGTACAAATGGAACAAAAGCACTGGAGATAGAATGAGAGCAAGCAAAAAGGGCACAGCCAGCACAGACAGCAGCTCAGCGTGGTGAGTATGGAGGCTCATTGCAGCTTCTGCAAATAGAAGGTGTAGTGAGTCTTCACTTCCCCGGAAATAGACCCAAGAGCCTGGGTGGGGTTGGCCACACTCAGGGACACTATCAAGATTGGGTTCCTTCCTGGGGAGTAGCAAAGTCCTAGGGAAACTGCACTTTCTGCTATTGAAAGCCAGGATTACAAACTCTGAATCAGAGAGCCACACAGGGAATGCCTCAGAAAACCTTGAAATGCCTAGCATCTCTCAGAAGGCTTTGGGCTCTTTTCCAGTGGGCTTCCTGAGAAGAGAGGCCCTGAGGGACCAATTTTGGCATAAGGAGGTACATTCTCCCAGAGAACGAGGCCCATGTTTCCGCCTTGCAACAATTCAGAGTGATTTCTGAAGATCCAGGAGGACTAGACAGAGATGGTTACCTGCACAGAGCTGCTGGGTGGAAATGGAGTCAGAGTTGTTGCTGACAGGGTTCCAGGCTGTACAAGTGTAAGTCAACTCTTGGTCCTCAGGGGTCTGGAAGATTCTAAGGACATTACCCTCTTCTCCCAGGGGGCTCCATCTGTATGTCACATTCTTTTCTTCCTTCTCCACAGAACAGGTCAGTGTGACATTACAAGAGCTGTTCACAGATGTCATTAAACTTTGTGTAATTTTTGGCTTCCCAAGCCGACCTATGAAGGGAAAACACACAAGCAAGTGGTGAGCTGAAACCAGCTTGTAAGAGACAATTGTTAAATTTTCAGGAATTTTGCAAGATGATTGTTAAACACAAACATCATTACAAATTAAAAACTTACAATTATATTATATTAAAAAGAAAGGTAATAAATACTCAAAACCCATCAATTCTAATTATTTTTTTGACATTTGACTATTGTTTATGTTCTTGAGGTTATTTACATCTATTGTATCGGCCCTTTGTAATGGTATACTTCCGGGCATGTCTTTCCAACTCCACATGGCTTGAAATCAGCCACAGAAATTGGCAAATGCTACAAACCAGGGCTTGATTTACTGTTTTATTGATTGTCGCTCTAGAGTTAAGAAATGTTATTAATGCAGATTAAATGTAAAAGTAGATCATGTCAGTAGCCTTTATATTGTGAATAGTACACACACACACACACACACACACACACACACACAAAATCCAGTATTTGATAACCATTATCTAATTCAGCAAAGGTGTTGCTCATGTCACTGATGACCAAGTGAGCTCCCAATATATGTACATGTCTTTGTTGAATCACTTTTTTCTTATTTTGTTGTGGTTAGGCGCCATTGAGTTGGTTCTGACTCATACCGACCACGTGTACAACAGAACAAAACACTGCACGGTCCTGTGCCATCCTCATAATCGTTGCTATGCCTGAGGCCATTCTTATTAGTTAACTTAAATGACAATATTAACTAATATTCATGTTGGAACTACACTCATTCATCAATTGCAATCATAGGTTGGTTGGATATAAGTGTTTGGCAAAAACAAACATAAGCATTTGTGAGAATCAACTGGTTATATGGAATAAATTACAATAAATAGAATTTTATTATCATTTATGAAGTTGTGTTCTACAATCCTTTTTATCAGTAAAATTTATAATAAATTTGTATGCCTCAGTGGCGCAGTGGTTAAGTGACTGCTATCTGAAAGGTTGGCAGTTCAAATCCACCAGCTGCTCCTTGGAAATGCTATGGGGCAGTTCTACTCTGTCCTATGGGATCACTATGAGTTGGAATAGACTTGACAGCAATGGGTTTCGTTTTTTGTTTTTTTTAAATATGTATATATATGGGTGTGTGTACTGACTATTCACAATATAATGGCTACAGACATGACCTACTTTTAAGTTTAATCTGTATACACGCACACATCTCATGGAGAGCCAGTTCAACATTATCAGCACACTTCTACAGGAAGCAATCCTTTAAAAAAATTTTTTTTGTTCTGTTTTCTGGTGTATATGTGTTTTCTTTAAGTTTTTTGTTTTGTCTTAAAGTGACCAGGGTGAAAAGCTACTTCTTTACAAGTTCATTTTTTTAAAACACAGCTCTAACTCATGGTGACCCCATGTGTTACAGAGTAGAACTGCTTCATAGAGTTTTCTTGGCTGTGATCACCAGGCCTTTCTTCCACAGTACTGCTGGGTGGGTTTGAACTGCCAATCTTTCAGTTAGTAGTCAAGTGCAAATCATTTGCACCACCTAGAGTTACTACTAAAGAACAATCATATTTCACTTCAGGTAGTAGCTAGATCTAGAGTCCCTGGGTGGTGCAAATAGTTGGCTGCTAACCAAAAGGTTGGAGGTTGGAGTCCATCCAGAGGCACTTTGGAAGAAAGGCCTGGCAATCTACTTGTGAAAAATCAGCATTGAAAAACGCTGTGGAGTACAGTTTTACTCTGACATAAAGACCTTGATTAGGTATAACAGTGATTAATACAAATATGAATTAGTGAAAAATGAACCTAATTGTGTGTGTGTGTGTGTGTGTGTGTGTGTGTGTGTGTGTGCGTGTTTTTCTTTAGAAACTTGATTTAGAAGAATGTCTCATGTGTGTTTTTCTTGAGAAATTTAATTTAGAAGAATGTCTGTGTCCCTGCTTGGTATTTACATATTTTTAAAAAGACTTTTTTTTTCTTCTTCTTTTTGATGGGTCTGGAGGTGAGGGATAGTGGTGAAGAATATGGTTCGCATTTCATTTGTGAACAGAGACTTTACCTGCACAAAGCTGCTGGGCAGAGAAGGTCAGAGTCATGGCTGATGGGTCTTCATCCTCTCAAGCCAGAGTGTGGAAGGCATGTTAGACCTGGTTTGGAATCCATGCTCCACTACTTGCTAGCTGTATAATGTTGGAGAGGGTGTATAGCTTCACTGAGGTTCAGTTCCCTCATTTTAACGTGAGGATGACAATTTCCTCTTGTTAGGGTGGTTGTGAGGATTAAATGAGATATATACAATGAACATTCTGGTGGCGTTAAAAGCTTCACTGCTGACCAAAAGGTCTGCAGTTTGAATCCACCAGCTGCTCCTTGGAAACCCGATGGGGCAGTTTTACTCTGTCCTATAGGATCGCTATGAGTCGGAGTTCACTCAACGGCAATGAGTTGTTTTTTTTTTTTAATCTATGCTTGAATAACATTATATATTGTTGTTGTTAGGTGCCATCGAGTTGGTTCCAACCATAGTGACCCTATGTACAACAGAACAAAACACTGCCTGGTCTTGCGCCATCCTCACAGTCATTGCTATGCTTCAGCCTATTGTTGCAGCCACTATGTCAATCCATCTCGTTAACGGTCCCCTTTTTTGATGACCCTCTACTTTACCAAGCATGATGTCCTTCTCCAGGGACTGATCCCTCCTAATAACATGTCCAAAGTATGTGAGACATAGTCTCACCATCCTTGCTTCTAAGGACCATTCTGGCTGTACTTCTTCCAAGACAGATTTGTTTGTTCTTGTGGCAGTCCATGGTATACTCAATATTCTTCGCCAGCACCACAATTCAAAGGTGTCAGTTCTTCTTCGGTCTTCCTTATTCATTGTCCAGCTTTCACATGCATATGAAGTGATTGAAAACATCATGGCTTGGGTCAGGAGCACCTTAGTCTTCAAGCTGACATCTTTGCTTTTTAAGACTTTAAAGACGTCTTTTGCAGCAGATTTGCCCAATGCTATGCGTCATTTGATTTCTTGAGTGCTGCTTCCATGGTGTTGTGTATCCAAGGAAAATGAAATCCTTGACAACTTCGGTCTTTTCTCCGTTTATCATGATGTTGCTTATTGGTTCAGTTGTGAAGATTTTTGTTTTCTTATATTGAGCTGCAATCCATACTGAAGGCTGTAGTCTTTGATCTTCATCAGTAAGTGCTTCAAGTCTTCTTCACTTTCGGCAAGCAAGGTTGTGTCATCTGCATAACGCAGGTTGTTACTGAGTGTTCCTCCAATCCTGATGCCCTGTTCTTCTTCTTCGTGTAGTCCAGCTTCTTGGATTATTTGATCAGCATACAGATTGAATAAGTATGGTGAAAGGATACAACCCTGAAACACACCTTTTCTAACTTTAAACGACGCAGTGTCCCCTTGTTCTGTTCGAACAACTGCCTCTTGATCTATGTACAGTTTCCTCATAAGCACATCTAAGTGTTCGGGAATTCCCATTCTTCACAATGTTATCCATAATTTGTTATGATCCACACAGTTGAATGCCTTTGCATAGTCAATAAAACAAAGGTAAACATCTTTTGGTACTCTCTGCTTTCAGGCAAGATCCATCCAACATTAGCAATGATATCCCTGGTTCGACATCTTCTTTGAATCCACCTTGGATTTCTGAAAGTTACCTGTCAATGTACCACTGCAACTGTTTTAGTATTATCTTCAGCAAAATTTTACTTGTGTGTGATATTAATATTTTTCAATAATTTCTGCATTCTGTTGGATCACCTTTCTTTCGAATGGGCACAATTATAGATTTCTTCCAGTTGGTAGGCCAGGTAACTGTCTTCCAAATTTCTTGGCATAGATGAGTGAGCACTTCTAGTGTTGCATCTGTTTGTGGAAATATCTCAATTGGTATTCTGTCAATCCCTGGAGCTTTGTTTTTTGTCAATGGCTTCAGTGCAGCTTGTACTTCTTCCTTGAATACCATCGGTTCTTGATCATATGCTACCTCCTGAAGTGGCTGAATGTCTACCAATTCTTTTTGGAACAATGACTCTGTGTATTCCTTCCATCTTCTTTTGATGCTTCCTGCATCGTTCACTATTTTGCCCATAGAATCCTCCAATATTGCAACTTGAGGCTTGAATTTTTTCTTCAGTTCTTTCAGCTTGAGAAACGCTGAGTGTGCTATTTCCTTTTGGTTTTCTAACTCCAGTTCTTTGCACATTTCATTATAATACTTTACTTTGTCTTCTGTAGCTGCCCTTTGAAATCTTCCATTCAACTCTTTAACTTCATCATTTCTTCCATTTGCTTTAGTGGTTAGGTTTATTCCCAGGCATTTTATTCTCTTAGATACTATTGTAAATGGAATTGTTTCCCTAATTTCACTTTCAGAGTTCTCATTGCTGGTGTATAAAAACTGATTATTGTTTGTTGACCTTGTACCATGCTACTTTGCTAAATTCCTCTATTAGCTCTAAAGTTTTCTTACGGACTCTTTGGGATTTTCCATATACAGGATTGTATCATCTGTGAATAGAGATAATTTTACTTCTTCTTTTCCGATCTGGTTACCTTTTATTTCTTTTTCTTGTCTTATGCTCTGTTAGGAATTCTAATACAACATCGAGTTGAAGTGAGAGTGGGCACCCTTGTCTTGCTTCTGATTTCAAGGACAGAACTCTCAGTCTTTCTTCATCAAGAAACATTGGCTGTTGGTTTTTCATATATGCCCTGAATCATATTGAGGAATTTCCCTTCTATTCCAATCTTCCTTAGGGTTTTCATCAAGAAAACATGTTGATATGAATGGATATAGACACGATTAAAGAGAATGTTGAGAACTACTTGATGAATGTAACTAATGTCAATGAACAATTTGTGTGGAAATTGTCAAATGGGAACCTAACTTGCTGTGTAAACTTTCACCAAAAACTCAATAAAAAGAAAGAAAGAAAGAAAGGTGTTGGATTTTATCAAACGCTTTTTCTGCATCCATAGAGACAATCATGTAGTTCTTTTCCTTTGTTCTATTAATGTGTATTACGTTGATTAGTTTTCTAATGTTGAACCATTCTGCATTCCTGGAGAAAATTCCACTTAGTCATAATTATGACTGTTACTATGCTGTTGGATTCTGTTCACCACTATTATGTTGAGGATTTTTGCATCTATATTCATAAGAGATATTAGCTTGTAGTTTTCTTGTGGTGTCTTTGTCTGGTTTTGGTTTTAGGGTTATGTTTGCTTCATAGAATGAATTAGGGAGTAGTCTTTCCTTCTCTATCTTTTGGAAGAGTTTAAACAGTGTTGGTGTCAATGCTCTAAATGTTTGGTAGAATTCCCGAGTGAAGCCATTTGGTACAGAGCTTTTTTTTTGTTGGGAGGTTTTTGATCACCGTTTTGATCTCTTCATTTGTTATGGGTCTGTTGAGACTTTCTATTTCCTCTTGAGTCATTTTGGGTAGGTTGTGTGCTTCTAGGAATTTATCCATTTCATCTAGGTTATCTAGTTTGTTGCCGTAAAGTTGTTCATAACATTCTGTCATAATTCTCTTTATTTCTATCAGATCGGTTGTAATGCCCCTCTTTCATTTTTTATTTTGATTATTTGAATCTTTTTCTTTTCTTTGTCAGTCTAGCTAAAGATTTGTCAGTTTTATTGATCTTTTTGAAGAACCAACTTCTGGTTTTATTCATTCTCTCTATTGTTTTTCTGTTTTAGATTTTATTTATTTCTGCTCTGATCCTTTGTTATTTCCTTCTTCTGGTAGGTTTAGGCTTAGTTTGCTCTTCTCTTTCTAGTTCCTGGAGTTGTTGAGTTAGGCTGTTGATTTGAGATCTTTCTTCTTTTTTCACGTAGGTCACATGTGATTAAATTGTATAGTGCTACATACACATACACAAATGAGTGCATGTATAATTGATGAAATTTACATAAGCTCTATAGAGTGAACCAATGTCAATTTCCTGTTTTTGATATTATACTATAACTATGCAAGATGTTAACGTTGGGGGAGGCTAAGTGAAGGGTGCACAGAATCTCTTTGTACATTTTTTGCACTTTTCTATGAATCTATAATTATTCAAAATAAAAAGTTTAAAAAAATCAAGTACTTTGCATACATTATCTCATTTGATTCCACAATAACTCTGGGATGTAAGTAGTATCATTATTCCCATTTTACAGAAAAGGAAAACAAGGCCCAGGGACAAATTGCTAAAGAAAGACTATATAGCTAAAAACTGGCAAAGCCTAGACTAAACTAATGCCATATCCTCTTTATAAATGTTGATGATAGTAAGAATATTTAGGGAATACAACTGTTATAAATACAGGTATTCTTTAGATAGTAAATTTTCAATGTAAAAACAAACAAAAAGCCCCCTGCCTTCCCACAACTTACGGTAGACTTGAAGGTTATAGTTCCTGGTGACGGTGGAGTGAGAGGATCGTATATTTATGTCTGCTTTGTAGAACCCTGCATCTTCCCTCCTCAGATTGCTGATAACCAGGTTGTAGTTCTGACCTGAGACATTTAATCTCTCATAATAATTTCTGTGAGTCACAGTAACTCTAGGTGCTATTCCTGAGTCTCCTGGTTCTACAAAAGCAACAGATGTTTTGGAAGTCCAAGCAATGTTGATAACTTGCTGTGATTCTTGGATATTTATGGGGAAAGTAACTGACTCTCCCAGAATCCCATTCACCACAAGGATGTCTGTGTCTCTTCCAGTTGCTTCTGGCCCTGAGGACACAAATAGAAAATTGTAGACATCTGACTGTTGTACCTTTCAGAGCTCCCTGTTTGCCCAGCTCTGAGTCTCTCTGAACTGCCATGAGCCCAGCTCATCCAATTTCTAGAGGATGCCCTTTCTGTTGGCACTCTAAGTATTTTTAATATGTTGTGATTACTAAAGTTTCTAAAGTATTCTCATTCAAAAACTAAGTTTCCCAGTGAATTTCAATGGATCTATTTTACTAAAAGCATGTTTACCTAGAACTTTTAAACTCTGAGAGCCGGAAGAGATTTGAGAGGTAAAGACCATAAATCTCCATGGGGTCCAAAATTGAGTGTCTTTCTTCCCAAGATCTTATTAACAGATCTTGAAAGAGCTGGGACCAGAGCTTGGAAGGTCTGTGTTGCTGGACTCTGGTCATTGCTTTTTCTTCTACTGTGTTTTGCAAAAAGCAAGTTACATTTGTGCCTCTATTCCTGGAAGATATAAGCAGGAAGTCCTTTGTAGGCTCTAGAGTAAATGTTCCCCAAGTTAGTGACTTTTGAGGGTCTTTTTGTTCACTACTATATCCCTAGTCTCTAGGAGAGTACCTGACACATAGTGGATGCTTAATAAGTATCTGTGGAATGGAGAGTGATGTAAGGCAAAATGGCAGATTAAGAAGCTCTGAAGGTCAGTCCCTCCAGCAAACCAACCACTAAGCTGGAAAGAGCCATTGGAATCAACTATACCAGAACTCTGGAACTTGATAAGACACTTACAACAAACAGGGGAGGGTTGAATGAAGGTAGAGGTTGTTGTTCTTTGTTAAGAAAGTATGCATAAACCACCTACCATTCCCCATTCCTCAGCCCTATCATGGCTGTTGGGATAGTGGCCTGCATTACTGGAGTTGCCAGGAAAGGGAGTGGGGACCTTTTCCTCCAAAAATCTGGAGTTGTGCATTTCAACTGGTCTGGCAGTTCTCTGAGGGACTGGTACAGGCACTGCCTTGGTTTTGGCCCCCTGGGGATGCAGTGGCTTCTCCTGGTAGAATTTAAGGAAATATTTAAAGGAACAGAACACTTCCTTGCTCCTTTTTGGAGCCAGACATTTAAGGAAATCTTTGTCAGGTCTCTGGCTGACTGCAGAGACAACAAAACAGAAACTTCAGTGCCACACACAACAAGGAATGCATACTTTGCAAAAGTAGCTTGGAAAAGTCACAAACATATAGCTGCAGCCCTCAACAAGCAAAAATCAGCAGTCCCTGACAGGTGGGAGAATCAGATTTACAGAATTACCATATTATAATACTCAGAAAGACCAGGTCTCAATGAAAAATTAAATGCATACCAAGAAACAGGAAATTATGACCCATTTACAGGGGAAAAAAATGACAAAAACTACCCTAGAGGAAGCCTGGACATTGGGATTAATAGTCATATGTGTTAAATCAACAGTTTTAAACATGAGCTAAAGAAAGTCATGGATAAAAACTAAACAAAATCAGAAAAACAATATATGAACAAAATGAGAATGTCAATAAAGAGATAGAAATTATAACAAAAAAGAGCCAAACAAAAATTCTGGAACTGAAAATAACAGTAATGGAAATGAAAAATTCACTAGACTAGCTAACAACAGATTTGAGAAGGCAGAATAAAGGATCAATGAACTTGAAGATAAAGCCATGGAAATTATCTAGTCTAAGGAGCAGAAAGAAAAAGAATAGATAAAAATGAACAGAGCCTGAGGAACCTGTGGGACACCATCAAACATGCCAACATATGCATCATTGGAGTCTCAGAAAGAGAAGAGAGAGAGAAAGGGGCAGAAAAAAGAATATCTAAAGACATAATGGTCAAAAACATCCTAACTCTGATGAGATACATGACTACACACATTCAAGAAGCTCAACAAACTCCTAGTACAATAAACTCAAAGAGATCTACGATGAGATAATTTACAGTCAAATTGCCAAAACCCATAGACAAAGAGAGCATTTTGAAGACAGCAAGAGAAAAGCAACTCGTCACATGCAAAGGATTCTCAAGATTAACGCTAATTTGTCATCAGAAACTGTGGGAGCCAAAACCAAACCAAACCTGTTGCTGTCAAGTTGATTCCAACTCATAGTGAGCCTATAGGACAGAGTAGAGCTCTCCCATAGGGTTTCCAAGGAGTGCCTGGTGGATTTGAACAGATAACCTTTTGGTTAGCAGCCCTAGCTCTTAACCACTACACCACCACGGTTTCCTTGGGGGCCAGAAGTCCTGAGAAAAGAAATAACAACTGTCAACCGAGCATTCTATATCTGGCAAAAGTACCCTTCAAGAATAAAAGGGAAATTAAGGCATTTCCAGATAAACAAAAGCTCAGGGAGTTCATTATTAGTGGACCTGTCCTAAAGAAATGCTAAAGGAGTCCTGCAGGCTGAAATGGAAAAACACTAGACAGTAACTCGAAGCCATAATAAAAAATAAATAACACTGGTAAAGGTAGCTACATATGTAAACATAAAAGCCACTATTATTGTATTTTTGCTCTGTAACTCACCTTTTTATCCTATATGATTTCAAAGACAAATGCATAAAACAATAATTATAAATCTGTGTTAATGGGCAAGCAATGTATAAAGATGTAATCTGTGACAATAATATAAGGGGGGAGGAAGACAGAGATGTATAGAAACAAAGTATGTATGGTATTGAAACTAAGTTGGTATTTTTCAAACTAAGTTGTTATAACTTCAAGATTTTAATTGTAACCCCCAAGATAACCACCAAGAAAATAAATTTAAAATACACAGAAAAGTAAAGAAGATACACTACAAAGAATCATCTAAACACACAAAAAGGAAGTAATGGAGGATTTGAGGAACAAAAAAACAAATAAGACATACAGAAAACAAAAAAACTAAATTATAGAAGTAAATCCTTTCTTATCAGTAATTACTTTAAATGGTTATGGATTAAACTCTCCAACTAAAAGGCAGAGATTGTCAGAACAGATTAAAAAGCATGATCCAACTATATGCTATCTACAAGAGACTCCCTTTAGATACAAAGACAAAAAGAGGATGGAAAAATAGATTCCATGCAAAAATAACCAACAGAGAGCTGGGGTGGCTATGTTATTGTCAGATAAAATAGACTTTAAGTCACACAAGAATACAAGAGACAAAGAAGAACATCATATATGATAAAAGGTTTAATCCAACATGAAGATATAGCAATTATAAACATATATATGCCTAAAAACACAGCCCCAAAATAAATGAAGCAAAAATTGACAGAATTGAAGAGAGAAATACACAGTTCTACAATAATAGTCGGAGACTTCAATATCCCACTTCTAATAATGGCTAGAACAAAAAGATAGGATATTAATAAGGAAGTAGAAGACTTGAATAACACTATAAAACAATTAGACCTAACAGATATTTACAGAACAATCCACCCAATAAAAGCAGAATACACACTCTTCTCAAGTGTATATAGAACATTCTCCAGGATAGACCATATGTTAAGCCATAAAACAAGCCTTAAATTTTAAAATATTGAAATATACAAAGTATCTTTTTGATCACAAATAGAATGAAAATAGAAATCAGTAACAGAAGGAAAACTGGAAAATACACAAATATATGGAAATTAAACAACACACTATTAAACAACCAGTGGGTCCAGGAAGAACTCAAAGAGAAATCAGAAAATACTTAGAGTCAAAAGAAAATGAAATCACAACATATAAAAACTTATGGGATGCAGCAAAGGCAGTGTTCAGAGGGAAATTTATAGCAGCAAATACCTATATTAAAAATAAGAAAGATCTCAAATAACCTAACTTTACAATTGAGAAACTAGAAAAATGAGGGCAAACTAAGCCCAAAACTAGATTTCTCCTACTCAACCGGCCCCCTCTTTTTCTCTGTCAATAGAAGGATCTAGAGGGAGACTGTACAACTGGAGAAGAAGGAAGGGAAAATAACTTTCCTGTTTGCTTGCTGTACCTATCAGTGTCACCCCAAAAATGTATCTTTCTCTGAGCAGTGGTAGTTTGTTCCAGTAGCAGCAATTGATTTCAATTTATAGTTTTTTCAGTACTCCCAGAACCAGCCTTATTGCACCTCCTTAGAAGTACCAGCATCACTGGCTAATGCCTCCTCCTCAGAGGCCTGGGTCCCAGCTCCATAAGGCCCCTTTCCTGAGCTCCTCAGGCACCAGTACAGCTGAGTACTCTCTTCTCAGAGGTCTTAGTTATAGCTCTCTGGGGCCACTCCTCTAAGCTTCTAAGTTTTAATAATTCCAACATCTTCCATTTGCTCTTCTAGTTCTAGGGGTGGTAGATGCTTCCTGAGGTTGTTGCCACCTCCATGTTACCTTTTTGCCTTTTTACTTCTCCAATTACAACCAGAATGCTCCTTAGAAGAGAGGATGGTGAGATTTCAGCTCGCTTACTTTGGACATTCATCAGAAAAAACCAATCGTTAGAAAAGGACATCATGTTTGGTAAAGTAGAGGGTCAGGGGAAATGCAGGAAATCCTCAATGAGATGGATTGACATAATAGCCACAATGGACTCAAACATACTAATAATCATGGAGATGGCACAGGATCAGGCAATGTTTCATTTTGTAATACATGGGTTGCCATGGTTTGAGCTAATTTGACAGCAACTAACAAAAACAACAGTTCTCCAATCCCTGGTTATTAATTATTTATATTAAATTGTCTGTCTCTGATTTGATCCTGACTAATCCAACAACCAAAATGGGTTTGTCCCAAGAATGCAAGGTTGTTTTAAAATTAGAAAACCAATTAATGTAATGAATGAAGCAACATTAAAGGAGAAAAAATATGATCATATCAATAGATGCAAAAAAAAAATAGATCAAGAGATGCAATAACATTCATCATCCATTTATGATTACAAAAAACCCTAAGAGAATTTGTAATACAAGGGAAATTCCTTAATCTGATAAAAGATAGCTCAAAAATCCTAAAGCACCCATTATATCTAATGG